GTTCCATTTAAAAAAATTAATGTGACCTTGACCTGACCTTCGCTACGCAACCCAAGGTCAAACTGATGTGATCAGTAAATACATCTTTTTAAACGCCACAACTTTTATCTGAAACATTTTTTTCTAAAATGCTTAGTTTTCGAGATATTTCACCGGTCCGGGACTTTTTGAACACCCTGTATATAAAAGTTGCGTACGAAGTGTTATCAAACAGTATAATTCCACATGACTATTTTTCGCGTTAGATATATGACGTATTCGCAGATAGTATGTCTTTAATTACATTGCAAAAGTAGTTGTTTACATGTTCAAGGTTTGATTCTAGCAAGTCAGATATATTTTTATACTAAAGTACTGATAGGTACAAAATGTTGACTGATTAACACTTATCGCGAAGCAACCGGTTTTATCAGTATCATGTCTATAGTAACCTCTATGAATATTTCTGATATTTGGAATCGCTTGCGCGATAGCACTCATAGTTGAAAAGGAATTCAGCAGTAGAGCAGGCAGTGTTGTAGCTGCTACTGTACGTTCCGCACTGTGATCATGGATTACACCAAGTTCTTCGCTAAAATCACGAGTAGGCGAAGGTCGAACTTACTTAGACAATTAGGTAAGTTGTCATTACATTCACAATTTTCGGCTACTTTGCGACTTTTTATTCGCGAAATTTTTGGTGAAGGAACAAAGTGTCTGAAATGACAATATTTTTGAATCCGAAGATTCAAGATTACAATATTTACTGCCTGTTTGTTCACATCGCGCTAATCAATAATTAAGTGAACATAATACCGAAGATATGCACACGAAATCAATATATAATTAATGTCATGTAAGGTAAACGTCCCAGTGATCGAATATACATGTTTCAATGATTAACATATTAGTTAACACATTAGTTAACATATTAGTTAACACATTAGTTTTGTATTTTCTTTATTAAAATGCTTTTCAATATACAAAACAATATAATAAATGAAAAGAAATATTTAGTTACTTTGTGATTTTGTTTCACTTATTGATAAGCATCTTAACAAACACAAATATATTATTAATAATTCAATTATCGGTACACGTTTAATTACTAGGACATTTATCTTATGCGAAAAACTTTCGAGAAGTTTAAGGACAATAGCGATCTTTGTCGTTTCGGGATTTTGAGATAAGCATTCAGGTAGATCGTGAATTTGAGAACTATCCGGCGGGCAAGTTTGCACTACTCAGCTGTGTTAGTCGCTTCTCGCAATTGCCAGGCTCTTGTTCTGGTGTGAACTTGTACTCGTGTTCCTTCCTGAATTGTGTTACGGATAAGAGAAATTAATAAACGTCATATATTTTGTTTGGTAACAAGCGCATAATTTTTTTTTATTGTCTTTAACACGATCTCATAGTGTGTGCGCGTAATGACCGGTTAAATCTTAATCTTAATCAGAGATTGTGTGCTCTCCGCGAGTTTAGAACTCAATATGTGTTGCAACACAAAGCTAAAATACTAACAAGACGCCTAAGAAGTTTCTATGTGAATTCATAGTAATTTATGATAACAAGATACGTTATTTAGCGATATATCAGTGATGTTCTCTTTCGTCTAGCACTATTTTTTTTATCAAACACTTAATAATGCGGCTTAAATTAAATTCATTCGAACCTAAATTAAGTTAATTGAATTAGATTGTGGAGTTAAATTCTAATTCTGTGAACTATCAAACAAATTATAGGTTTGTGTAATCTAATTCTGTGACTTATTTATCAAAAATTCTAGTCGAGAAGCAATTCTCGCTACAGAATCCCATAAGCTTAGCCGCTGGCTTCCCAAACACCGTCACGTTTCCTGTCAAAGATATGTCTGTGACATATGAACACGGCGTCTCGTTGAATCTCACCAAGTCAGAATTGGCTACAGCGCTGCAATATATGCCCACGCAAGGGTGAGTAATATTAACAAGCTGGTATGTAATTAAACCACGAGCCAAGTAATATCTTCGCGAATGTATAATATCGGTGTATGAAGAATATCGCTTCAATAAATCTGGATTATGCGTCTCTACATACAGTGGTGTGCAAAAGTTCTTGGCCAAATTCATTTTTGGCAATATATTATGAACAGGAAAAGCAAGTGACTTATAACTATAAGTAGATATAAATTTGTGATAATGTACAGAAAATAGCACTCGTATCTTCCAAGGTTTATCTATTGAAAGTGTGTTTACAAACATACTTTCAATAAGTCACTGTTCAAAAGTTCTTGGCCACTGTGTTTATTACTTATGTTATGCTTCTACTGAGTGCTTATCACTTTATTTCCGAAAGAGTAATCGATCAATAGACATCAGATTATCATCATAGCACGAAAGACGCAGCAGGCAATCCGAGAAAGAATTATTAGCTTGTCGCGAAGTGGTAAAGTATCTCGTGATATTGCTGAGCTATTGGGAATTTGTAAGTCGACTGTTAATAATATATTAGCTAAGTACCGTGCTGGATATGATCTAAAGGATCGCCCGCGAAGTGGAAGACCGCGAAAAACAACAAAAAAAGTAGACCGCGTGATTAAAATGAAGTCAATTGCTAATCCGCGGAAAACAGCAAATGACATTGCTCGCGAACTCCGTAATGAAAACCTCACCAATGTTAGCCACTGTACTGTTACAAGACGTTTACATGATGCCGGATTGTTCGGGCGTATCGGTGTGAAGAAGCCTTTAATTAGCAAGAAGAATCAGAAGGCCAGTTTACAGTTTGCAAAAAATCACATAAACTGGACAGTAGAAGATTGGAGAAAGGTAGCATTTTCCGATGAATCAAAATTTAATTTGTTTGGAAGTGATGGAAGACATCATGTGCGACGTCCAGTTGGTACCAGAAACAATGTAAGATATCAAATTCTAACTATGAAACATGGAGGAGGCAACGTGTTGGTGTGGAGTGTTCTTTCTGCTTATGGCGTTGGTCCGTTAGTCAATATTGATGGAACTATGAATGCTGCGATATATAAGAATATCTTGGAAAAGAATTTGCTACTATACGCCAAACGCAAAATGCCAAGAAACTGGATATTTCAACACGATAACGACCCGAAGCACACCTCAAGTCTTGTAAAGAGTTGGCTCTTGGTTAAAAAACTGCAGGTTTTAACCTGGCCATCGCAGTCTCCGGACCTCAACCCCATCGAACATTTGTGGGATGAATTAAAGCGCCGAGTTAAAGTTCGTAAGCACTCGAATAAGACACAGTTACTCGAGCATTTGACGGAAGAATGGAATAATATACCGATAAGTGTTATTGATCAGTTGATAGAATCTATGCTTCATCGCTGTGCTGCAGTAATAGCTTCAAAGGGCATGGCAACAAAGTACTAAGTGTGAAAGACTATTATTTACTGAATTAAAGTGTCTAAAGTTGCTCTTTTTGTTGGAAATAAACATGGCCAGGAACTTTTGAACAGTAATATTTATGTTATTTGTTAATAATTCAGTACAATAGAATAAATCTTTATAATATAACATTATCTGTTAATTATTTAAGCTTCACATACTATGTATCTTACAATATTGCAATTCTTTTATATTAGAAATTATAACCAACAGTGAGTTTGGCCAAGAACTTTTGCACACCACTGTATGTATCATCGTTATTTTGTATTACTTATTTATTATTTTTCATTCAAGCTATAAGCCGTTACTGGAAAAATGGCGTGAGTTCCAGAAAATATGGCATACACCAAAGCGAAAAGATTGGGACATCGTGTTTACCAACGGTTCTATGGACGCCTGCAGCAGAATCTTCGACATGATGGTCGATGAAAATGAACCGATAATGTTGCAATCGCCAACATACGGTGGAGTAATTGGAGCGGTAAGTTGCGTTAGAATAATATCACGAGAAAATGACAGAATTGACGCGTGGTCGTGAGCTTCATTCCGAAATTACGTTCTACAAGTTCTTTTCTTTCACTCACACGACAGCTACTGCCGTTGCTGCCGGATATTGTGGAGATCACTCAAGATGCCGATGGGATAATTCCTGAACAAATTGTTGAGGAATGCGAGAGGAGACGTGCGAGTGATAGACCGATGCCAAAAGTAAGTATGAAAATTTGCGTAGTATAGATACTACGCAGTAATGATCCCAGAAAGCACAGACTTCTAAAAAATGTCTTAGAGATGTGTAAGACATGTAAAAGACATCTGAATATTTCATCTAAATATCACAATAAAATAGGACATCATTAAGACATTTCTTAGAAGTTTGTGTTGTCTGGAATGTATCAATTTTGGGTGCTCAAATATCTTGGGTATTCGAATCTTTCGGATATTACTCGGATAATTCCTGCGAATGTTCATGTATACAAGCATCCAGGTGGTTAGGACCTGTGAATTTGGACATTTAGATATTCGGATAGTACTCGAGATACTCATTAATAATCATGTATTTAGATATCCCAGATAGCACAGAGAATTAAAAAAGAATTCGGTCGTATGTCACAATTCTGAGTCCATTTTTAGATACAAAAAGAATTCTTTTCACTGATAAACTCTGAAGATTCTTTTTGCATCTGAAAGTAAACTCAGAATTGGTGACATACGACTGAATTATTTTTGAATTTTTTTTTTAATTCTCTGTGCTATCTGGATATTACATACCTGGATATTAACACGTGAAAATACCTGGTTTATACTGACAGCACATTATTACCCAGTACACTTTTTGAAATCTTATTTACTATTTCCAACGTGGTTGCACTTTAATATAGTCTTCTTTGATCGGAAAGATGTACAGATTGCTTAATTTTTCAGTTACTCTACGTTAATCCAATGGCGAATCCAACTGGCACTATTTTGTCGGAGAGTCGACGAAGGAAAGTGTACGAATTGGCGCAGAAATACGATTTCTTGATAGTCGAAGACGATGCCTATTACTTCGTTCACTTTTTGGACAAACAGCCCATGTCGTTTCTTTCTCTCGACACTGACGGTCGCGTGATCAGACTCGACTCGTTCAGCAAGATTGTAAGCTCTGGTCTTCGTATGGGTGCTGTTACCGCGCACAAAAAGATTGTGGACAAAATTATCATTCACATGGAAAATTCTGTCCTGCACGCGTCGTCTATGTCCCAAGTAAGATTTCGCTCTTAATTTCACTTACTTGGTCGTGAAGGAGCCGATGCAAAGAATGATATAATTTTTGATATATAAATTCGAGATAGCAGAAAAGAATTTTGATAACGTATCAATTTTTGCTTATTATAGATGCTTCTTTATAAACTCTTTGATATTTGGGACAAACCCAAATTCGAAACACATTTCAAGAATGTTCAAAGATTCTACCGAGAACGACGTGACGTAATGCTGACATCGATGGAAAAACACTTGACTGGTATCTTAAATAATGATACAGTTAACAATAATTTGATTATGAATTTAAATAGAGTTTTTCCTAATATATTTCAAAAATAACTTCAAACCGCTCTCACGGAGTTGATTTTAATTTTAGGTCTGGCAGAGTGGAATGTGCCGCAAGGTGGCATGTTTTTTTGGGTAAAAGTAACAGCGATTGATAACTCCATGGATTTAGTAGTTAAAGGATGCATTCCTAAGGGTGTTTTTATTATTCCTGGGAATGCCTTCTGTTTTGATTCTTCAAAGCCTAGCAATTATGTAAGATTAAGCTATAGTTACGCTACGGAGGAAGATATAGACAAGGTAAGTTCAAACTGAAATTTATTAATTTCTATTATCTAGCAAGTGGATTCACGCATTTATATGCATACACATTATATTGAAATTGTTGTATTGATATTTTTCATTTATTTTCAGGGGCTATTTATACTGGCTCAAGTAATACGCGAAGAAATCGAGAAGAAAGCGAAGAAAGTTTAATAATTAAAAAAATTAGTATACGCACATTATCTACAGAACAATTACTTCTTTTGAATAATTTATTCTATACGTTTCATGATTTGTGTTTTTATACTTTTATTATATTATAATAGTAACAAAAAGGATTACAGTTAAAGACTGCGATTATCAAATGCTGTCTAATATATATTTAATTTGTATCGATCAGTAGCCTATTCAATCGTTTTCCTTGTTGGAAAACATCAACAATCAAAAATTAAACTTTATTTAGTCGAAATTACAATTTTTCTTAGCCGAGATTCAAACCCGTTAAATGCAACGAGCCTTCTCGCAGCATCATTAAGGGGATGACGAACTCGAACAACGTCGATAATGCAGAGACGATCGTTACTCACATAATCATGCTATCCTTTTCGTATTTCTTGTATATACAGAATTTATATGAATATGTATTGTTTTGTTTTACCATATTCAACAGAAACCTAACCATTTATGTGTAAAAATCTTTCTGCAAACCTTTTCGATAGTTTTAAGCTTCCAAAGGCAAATGCGAAGGTAGAGCAATGTTCTTCAAAATTTTTCTGCTTGGAGCATCCATACTTTCGGTATAAATAAGCTGCGGAACTTTTGGATTAGACAAATATTACGCTAACTGACAGCTTGAGACTTTACATTAAAAATTTTTTGTTCGTTTTTGACCCATATCGAGCAATGTTCCTATTTATTTTTGCACGTACTTTTATTGCATAAAAGCTTTGTAATTCTGTGTAACCAATACGACGTAAACTTTACAGAAGAATGTCAGTGTTCTGTTAGTAAAGTTTTCGGCTTCAGCATCCCCTTAAATAGCGCCAGGCTAGTTTGTTAGTCGCACAATTGGTCTAGTAGATAAGCTACTCCAACAAGAAGTACTCCAAGGTCTTCGCCATCGAGTCGCCATCATTTCTATCGATAAGAGTCGTAGTAAGCGACTCAGCGTAGATACGACTCAGCAGTAAGTTAGACGGATTTCCATTTTTCAAGTAGTATGACTTTTTTTCTTTTAATTGCAAGTTTAAAAATATCAGATATTATTAATAAAAAATTATACCGGACAGTGATTGGTATTAGATAGTGTTATAGATATAAAATCGATTATCTTTAATGTTTTTTCAAGATATAATGGACGTCGATTTTTTCTTTCATATCATCTATAAATATTTACTCTGTTCATAATTTACGTTTACTCATAGGATAAGATAACGAGGAATTGTGCTATCAGTTATCAGCGAACCGTAATTCAAATGTTTACATGCAATCGATTTAAAGTAACTGCGTTGGCAACCTAATACTGAATTTTTATTCCATGAAGGAATATTGATACGAAAAAGTCAACAGTTTTTTGTTCAAAACATTTTTTTAGGAACATATTTAGATTTTAAACCACGTGCTGTATCAGGGATAATAGTGACGCTTTCGATTTTGTATTTATTCGCATCAAATCGAAATTACTTCGATTCTGATGTTGTAAAGGAAGAAATCTCCCTCGTAGATACAATATCGACAGAAGGTATCGCTTTAGCCAAGGTTGTCAAAGATCTGATGCTTCGCGGGTACATGATTCCTTTGCCAACATAGACAGGAGAGATAGCACTCAATCGAAGAAATAGGCAAGGATAGCGCAACTCAATATTTGTCTTCCTGTCGCTGATCTTTCCGTCAGCGGGAAGCGTTCGTGCGGCTGAAGCAGCAGGAACTCTCTCATACCCAATCGGAAACGGATTACGCGGATTTAATTCAAGAGATCTTAGCAGCGGCAACACCAGCAGCTGCTCCAATATATGGTTCCACCTTGCAGTCTCGACTGCTTCGTCGCGCCGACCACCGCTACGCGCATTTCTTCGGGACCTGACAAATTGCGGATTTTTCCCCTGCTTCTCGGTCCCTTTTCCCAAGTACGACGCTTATAGAGAATTAATAGCAGCTTTTATTGCGAGTTCTCGAAGTAACTGGCGAAATTGCGAAAAAAAAGTTCAAGTCGATCTACGACGACGACAACGCAGGCGCAAACGTGCCGTTCCCATGGCGCCGTTGCTATACGGTTAGGTAATGTTGGATTAGACACTACACCGTTTCCCAACCCTCTCCGGGTAACGTTCAGTACACCCTAAGCCATCGTCGCGGTTGGAAGGTCTCTCGCATCTACACTCACGCACGTGTGCATATACACGCAGCATAGAGAGAGAGGGAGACAGACAGACAGCAGACAGAGACACAGAAAGAGAGAGAGAAAGAGAGAGAGAGAGAGATAGAGTAAGAGAGACACACACAGAAAGGCGCACACACGCGGCATCGTACACATATGCACACGCAACGTATCTGAGCGAAAACGCGTGGCTATTTACCCATTGTTTACGATACACCCTATCTGGCTTGTACCCGCCGAGTCTCGTTTATTTATTCAACCACCTCTACCTACCTGCTCTTCCACCGAAGATTTCTGTTTGCCCGCACACATTTGTTCCGATATATTCGTTTATTCGTCGTTGTCGTCATCCCCCTCGTTGTCGCGTGTCTCGTCCCGTTAGCCACGCGGATTCGAGTTATCATCGATGACATGCTGTTAACTTGTATCAATCATCGCTTCACTTGACGGATAAAGTCACGCTCTCATTCTTTTCATTTTGCCTCTCTCTTTGTGCTTTCTCGAAACACCAGTCGGACTGAATATTTTTACCACGACCTGTCGCCATCATCATTATCATCATCATCATCATCAACATCAACATCATCATCAGCATCGTCGTCGGTGTGAAGCTTCAAATCCAGACTGCGTGCACGTAACAGTGTCGTGGGACAAAAGTGGAGGGTGGTGTGTTTACTGTGGTGACGGCGAGGGTATTATCTTGACAGAACTGAAACTGGTCAGGTCAGTAACACGGGGTGAGTCGAGTTACTTGGTTTCTCCGTCACGCTCTCATGCCCGATTAAGTTTAACTTTAGAATGCACATGGGAGACATCCGCGAGAGATTGCGGTATTTACTCGGTATGTGTGCGGTATTTAACTTTTTTCTTTTTCTTTTTTTCGTATTTTCTTTTTCCCGATATCTTCTTCTATGAATGAACGTCTCCTTCCTTCCGGGTAATTGTTGGATAAGTCTCGGACCGTCCACTTTCCGATAATCGATTAGAATTCGTCGCGATCGCTTTTCTGTTACTCCTCGAGCTTCCGCAAACTCTGGCCGGGCTGCTATGTGTATTTTCAGGGTTAATTTTACACACTCGTTTCCCCTCGTATAGTGACTCCTCAACGTCAATAGAGACCTTGCCTCTGTATGCGGCTCACATCGTGAGAATTGAATTTGAAGAGTTATGAAGAGCGCTTTGTTATTTTTCCCTCCTTTTTGCACGAGCCTCGAGAAATGTGGCAATTCTTCTCAAATGTTGGGAAGATTGCGCGGTATTTTGTAAGAAATCCTCGCGCGCGAGAAGCGCCGTAAATCTCGCCGGGACTTGTAAATAATGCGCTTCTTTTATTTTATTCGTAGGAATCCGAAAAAGTTTAGCGATTCCGCGGAAGTTTTTCGTGTAACTTTCGGCACGCCGCGATCCCTTCAAAATCATACTTTTGGCGCGAACGTAATCAAAGTTGGTATCCTTGGCGGGCATCACTATAGCTTCTTCCCGCGCTATGAAAAGGATTTCTGTCACCGTGACGAGAATTGGAAAGTCTTTTGAGGATTTTAAAGCATTTCTTCGGAAGCCCCGGCAAAAAGCTGCGTCGAGAAAGGGTCAATCAATCCACCCGAGTGAGACCAATTTCCGCAATTGAGGCAACCACCGGCGTATACGCGCGTATCAACGTCACTTTCACCGTGTGTGTGTACGCGCGCGTGCATGCACCGCAATCACTAAATCCCATTATCCAGTTAATGTAGCGAAAATACGAATAAATAGAACGTGCGAGTCGACTAATCAGATACGCGTCATTATCATTAATCGTGTAACGCACCTGTACCCCGCCACATGCATCGCTCGTTACGCCAAACACAGCTGTGACTTTTTTCTACGTCCCAGATTTTCTACGGACGCACAAACGCGCCGCGCGGAATGCAGAGAACGCGCGCGCGCGCGCGCAGCCACATTTACAGAAACATTAGAATGATCGATACGCGACGGTTGCTATGACAAAAATAGACAAATGTTCGTAATGTGTCCGCACGGGGTAAGTATGTTCGACCGTTATATACCGGCTCCGTATGGATATACCGACATATACATACATATATTTATATATGCATAAATACATGTGTGTGTGTGTGTGTGTGTGTGTGTGTGTGTGTGTACGGATGTATAGGCATATATGCGCATATAGAGCTGCGTGACGAGCGACACGGGCAAGTCGCGCAGGCGCTACCTGTAGACTCCGCGGAATACGCGATGATAAATACTAAATTTAACCCCCGGTGGAGGAGGGAGGGAGAGGCTGAAACGGCGCGACGTCAGGCTATCCGGATCGATAACACTTTTCTGGCGTCTCTCGTTCTTTTTTTATCGGCGAAACGTGACTTCGCGTATGTAGGGCGTTTATATAAATCGTTGACCGCAGAGGTCACCGAGGCGTGCGGCCCCGCGTGTGATACGTCCCCGATAGGGATCTCGTGTTTGTGTGTATGTGTGTGCGTGTGTGATAAAGCCTTTATTAAAATTCTACTGCGCTTAAAATACCTCGTCGTCAGACCGAGGGAAAATTCATGCGGAGTCAGAAGACACGGCGCGGGAAATATTAACCCTTTTATCGGCCAAAGCACCTGTAATGAAAAAAATCCGGGGTTTTCAATTACGACGGGACTTTCGGGAACTCAAACGTGACTTTGCTTTTGTTGTTTTTTCCACTTTTTAATCAATAACACGTAACATCTTTTATCAATTCTATCATGTAATTAAAGCTTTTAGTACCGTTTCAAAATGAAATGGTTACATTATGGATGTCGTGTAGTCGCGGATAAATACATAGAAATTAAATACATTAAATTAACAGCACCGTTTTAACAATGTACCGAAATAATATGGATAGAGCTTTGCGACCTGCGATATCACTTGTTATGCTCTTTGAAACCTCGCTTTATATAGAGCTGTTGTAATTTACGAGTTATTCGCAAATACTATTCGCAAATATTGTCATATTTATTTGTAACAGTTATGAGCTGTCCCATTAGTTGTAAAATCTTTGAATACTTGTGTTGTTATTGATTCAACTTATGAAAGTGTACATGTCAATATGTATCCATTACGTTCTATATACATTTTACATATGAGGGAGAGAGCGATAATATAAACATAATCTGCAAATATAATTAGGCGATGCGCATCACTCATGAAAGTTCAGCCGGATAATTCGCTCGTAAAAGGGGTAGCATTGAAAATCGAAATAATACAATCCGTCGTGTTCCATATTGCTCTCTTAGTTCGAAAGATACACAGATCCTGTGAAGGATGTAACTGGAAACGTCGCGCTACTTTATTTAGTGTTCGAAGCGGAAAGAAAGAGCAGCCGTGTTGGCTGGAGGCGGAGAAGAATAACAAGCGTTATATTATTTGGTGTGCAACGGAAAGAAAACAGAATTTTTGGTATCTAATTCATAAAAATACGACTAAAGTCGGCAAGCGAATCTAAAGTGTACAGTGAAAATGTCGATTTTCACGAAATGTCATTTCGATTTTCCGTCTTCTTTGACGGCAAACCGGACGGCTATACTATATCTAGGATAAAAATATACCGTCAGGCACACCGTAGACGAAGGATTATAGACAACGACAACGTTCACTGGGTTTATAAATAATTCGTTTTCACCGAATGCAGTAAAATGAAACGTTACTGGAAACCCAACAGAACTTTTCTGTTACGCTGACTCAGTGTATAATTAAAATGACGTATGGATTGATTAAAACCTGCAATTTGAGCGTGCACATGTACGCTCTTGAAGCGAATTTTCTCAAATTTCTAAATACGATACATCGAAATATTGTCACAACGAGTTCCTGAGTCGAGACAACCGCACTAGTCCGACTCCCTGTCGCTAAATTGGCAACACGAGATCGTTACTCTCATCTCTTTCTTTCTTTCTTTAATTTTCCCCTCTTTCCTTTCCCTTTGAGAGAATTTACAATCTCGGAATTATCCGCCGGGGTCATCACGACTGGCGTTTCGTTATGGGGCACGGCGTGCCGTCGCCTTTATTCGCGTAGAACCTGTGGACGATCTCTTCACTCGATGTCTTCAGATCATACGCCCATCCCAACCGAGCCATGAATTTTATAAAGCCGGCCGACGGATTGAAACGGCCAAACTCCGAGGTTTTATAGTCCCACGGGAAGCAATGATGATAATTGTGCCAACCCTCACCGAGGGAAACTATGGACACCATCGTATTTTCCGTTGGCTTAATATTTCTGGAACAAGAAGGAAGGGAGGGAAGTTTCACCGCTTGATCTGGGCGAACCAAGTTCTGCACGGAATCTCATGCAACAGATTATTCAAGCGGAACAACACAGCTTACAGCTTCCATCTATTAAGCGTCTTCGTATAAAACTCTCTCCTAGGCAAATTTATCCCTTCGAGGACAACGCTCTCGATACATGCACGTATCGCTTCGTTCGAAAGGAATCTATACTCGCACTCCTCGTGATGAGATGGACTACTTCTTTGTGAGTATACTTTCTGACTTGGTGCTAAATTTGAGCGATTCTGTGTCTCCAGCGCAAAGATAAGGGTATTGATCTCGAGTACATTTATACCTCCATTTTATTGATTGCGTTGTAAGAAATTTAGAAGCACCGTCTCTCCGTAGAGATTAAGCTCGCAATCTTGCATCACTCGAAATGACACGAAATGTTTTACCATTTACAACAAAAGCAAATTGAATTGGCGGATGAATCAGATTCAAGCTACAAACTCTTGTTCTTGAAAAAGTATAGCGCTTGCTCGCAAGATTAATCACCTCTGGGTGACTGCAGTTAAAAGTTACTGGAGCAAATTGAGGCGCGCGAGTTACTCTTTTGAGCGCGTTTTTCATTTAAAACTCGATACATTCTCCAATCTCCTAGATCAACCGCGTTTCTTTCTCCAAGCGCTGCGCTCTCCGAACGCTCGTAAATCGATTTTTCTTTTTCACGGGAAACGGCATTATTCCGTTTGATCTCACGAAAATCCTACGATGAAAGACACACGCGCAAGCTTTCTCTCGCGCCAAATCGTGATATTCTCTCATTTATATCTGAGCACAATCCGAACGCTGTGCTGGCCGATCTCGACGGTAATCACGTAAATGTGAATCCAAGAGATTACCGCGTACCTGTTGTACGGTCGATAGCCCCATATGTGAGCGAAGCTGTTGACGGAACAAGTCGCGTTCAATAACCATATGTAGCGGACGATCATGCTGCTGAATGCTACGGTCCATGTTTCGTTCCATACGTAGACTGGTATCACCCCCGGCAAAACAAAGGTCATTATCGGCATGATTACCATAAAATATCTGCAATAAAAGACAGTGAGTGAGCGAAGCATTCTCGCGTTTAATATACCTAACGGTGTTGCGTCTTTTTTTACGATTCGCAGGTTTCCCAAGTACATCAATCAAAATAATTGCGCTCAATCCCATTCTCCTCCCTTTCTCTCTCTCTTTCTCGCGACTGAATTTGTTTAATTCGTATTTTGCGGTAAGAATATCGAACTTTCTAGGCTCTTTGATAATTACGAAATGATTCGAATTCATCATCAACTACTTCTGGAGGTAAGCCGAAGGAGACGGAATATGACCGCGCAACCTTTTAACGATTTTCAAACTGTCCGATGTATAAGTCTAGAAATAATTGATTTATACTGACACAGAGTATTAATTCATACTTCCGTAGCGGATTTTTCCCGAGTATTTCCGGAGCGAATTCCCTCTCTCGTCGATACGATCGCGAAATATCGAACTCACTTGTCAGCGAAGCGTATGACTGGATCGGCTTGGACGTCACTCATGTCTACAGTTTTACCGTACTCCTTGACCGCTGGATGAATCCTCATCATCACCCAGCCAATGTGAGAATAGAAAAAGCCACGAGATGCGTCGTGCGGATCCGCGGAAGTGTCCGTGTACTTGTGATGGGTACGATGGATGCGTATCCATTTGGACGGCTGTAACTGCAAAGAGGGAATATCTCTTTGGGTAACGCCTTGCTAAATATTTTCTTTCACTAGCGTACGTTACAATCGCGCTACTATCTCGGGGCCTCACCTGACCGGCCATGCAGTACAGAGTCATGAGCAATATTCTGAGTGGTAGTTTGGCGTTGTAGCTTCTGTGCGCCCAGAGACGATGAGCACCCGCTGTGATGCCGAGACCGGCCGCGTGTCCAGTTGTTACACCTGAATGTGAAAAATTAAAAACGATATTGAGGCCGAACTGCACCTTTCCAATAAGCTCGAGGCACGCGGAGGAGATACACAGACAACGGGATCGATATGTGAAAGCGTAGATATTACATTTATTAAATGCTGGATGAAAATTCTCGCGAGAAGAAAGTAAAGAGCATCGATCAACAGTTTCCCTCGAGCGATCCTCAACTTTGACGAGTTATCATTAATCCTCCGCGTGGCAACCAAGTCATTTGGTTCGTTCTAAGAAGTGCTCGTTCCTCGAGGTGGTTTTATTTAAAAGTCATTAAGAGCAAATTACTTAGCGGGTTTTTTTTCACAAAAAATACTATGTGGTCTTTAGCTTGAATGGTAAGGGAAGTTTCGATGATTCTTGGAGATTTTCTCGCGCTCCGAGGGGGGAAAAGTCGACACTCACGGACCAAAGGTGGTGAGTTGCTACTCGGAGGGTTAAAAATGTTTACGGGCAAAAGTTGTGTATCTTTTATGCATCGAATGTTAGAGATTTTGCTACTAGAACACAACATCGTTCGCGCATTTTTCGTTTGATTTCGAGAGTATCTCATCTTTCAAGAAACAGGGCGACCTCAACTGCCGACTGAATTGCGATGGAAAGTACTTAACGCAAATTATGGTAGAAAATTAATTGGCGGTTTAATAATGAATACTCACCAAATATCCAGGTCCAAAATTTCACATTACGATATTGCGTAATGAACAAATACACTCCCATGACGTGCACTATAGCGAGAACAATGATATTGCGCCAAATTAATGGCTGCTCCGCCGGTATGTGCTCTTTTGGCAGCTTTTGACGGAGAATCGAATCCGTGCCATTTTCCATTTCCGGCTGCACTGACTTTTGGCCTTTATTGTCCTCGTATTCGGTTATCGTCGAACTGTACATTGCTGAAACAAAATGTTTGCGGCCATGGTACGTTTGTTTATCTCATCCGCGCGTTGGCGCGCTCGTTTATTTGTCGCGCGCGTGTTTGGAAACATATACAACCAATCCCGGGGCGGGCGCGCGAGAGGCTTTCGGAAAAAAATTCGCGCTATCTCGGGAGAAACTACCCGCGATAAATCACCGAGTCCGCAGCCAATTTGCCGTGTCTTCTTGCGTGCGCTGTAATTCGTTTGATCTCTTTCGATTCGAGCGGCAATTTTCAAATTTTTCCCGATCAATCCATACGGATCGAGACGCACGGCAAAAACACACACACACACACACACACACACACACACACACACACACACACACACACACAGGATAGAAATCGTGCTCATTCGCATACGGGGGTTGTTTTTTACACGGGAGAGGGTCGAACACCGGAAAAATAAGTAAAAGCTTCTATTACATTCTACTGCAATTTCGTTAGGTAACGTGTTATTTGCTAAAATTACATGGCGGACGAACGATCCGAGCGAGGTTTTCGTACCGGTACTCATTACAGGGCAGTCTCGTGTTAACAAGCAGCCATTGTTAGCCGTAACTGCCGTCGAGACGGCCCGATATAATTATCCGCATTAGACGGGCGTCTAAATAAGCGACGACGTGCTTCCCGTCACGCGTCAGCGATCGTAATGCATTTTCTCGTTCATGTGTGCGCATCCAGGCGTTTCGCACCAGCGAGTTGATTAGAACGAGCAATAATTCTACATGCCTGACTCTCCCTCTCTTTCTCTCCCACTATCTCTGTCTCTCTCTCTCTCTCTCTCTCTTTCTTTCAAGACGAGGTAAGTGGCATTGCTGGTTGCATAGGATGCAAGTTCTTGGCCAAGGTGATCATACGCCAAGGCGATCGCCGACCGGTTTATTTCCCGTTAGTACAAATCGCCGACATGCGTTTGACCGACTTCGTCGCGAAAGTGAGAGCAAATTATCCGTTAAAAGTGCTATGTAGCAGCGCTGTCACGATGTATTTGTGGTTTCGTCACGCTGATGCGCGTTCCTACATGTCCCACATAAAACGATCCGACAAGAAGGTACACATAGGCATAAATTATGATGTTAGAGAAACTCTCGAAATACATGTCTTCCTCAAATTCCACGCATGAAATCAACGTGACGGACCTCCTTTTACAAATAAATAATAACGTGAATTAAAAAAAAAAAAAAAATGAAACAAAGGCTTGCCCAGAGGGACTCTCTTTGTTTCACTGCTATGTCTTCCATATACTAAATAAATATTTATAATAAAAGAGCGTGCAGACCTCTCGTAGCTGACGTTGCACGGTGCATTATGATGTACACACAGAGAGATGAGATCCGTTCTAAATGTTTACCTCGCGACGTATTTTTTTTCACACGAGTTTACAATTACTCCATTTGCTTTCGCAGATAACCCACGGCATCAAACAAAAGTCCCGCGCGTGACACGGTGAACCGCAAACCTATTCGCTCGATTAAACAATCGCTGGCGGAAACACCTGTGGCGGATGCATTTTTATTCGAATGAAGGCAATTTGTTATAACGGCGGCGTGTCCAATTTCCGATCGATAGGAACTCGATTGGAGTGCACAGTGAAAGTGCACGCAAAAACGTATGAAATCTCGTCCCGCGACGATTATTCGCTCACATTTCCTGGGGCCAATCATTATACACGAATGTCCGTCACGCAACGTGATTCAACGTGTTGCGACTTCCGAAGTGGAAATGGTAATCAAGGTCTAATCGCAGGACTTGTAATAAATGCGCTATCAATTGCAATTACGAGCGCTCGCGTAATAAGAACTTTTCTTACGATGACGTCGCCGAAACGGTTCTGCAAATGTGTCTAGGGAGTTTTCTGAAGCCTCTTATCTGCAATGGCGCGATATCGTCGATATCCATTAGCGCTTTATTACCCCTATTAACTTCGCGGTCGTTTAACTTAACGGCGAGATTTTCTCACGTAAAGTACATAAACACTCCAATTGGATTTTTATGAACGCTTGTCATGACTGAGAGAGCCGATTATATCGGAAAGAAACTATTAGACCGATTAACGCGTCACTTGACGTCAAAGATGAAAGTTATCTGTTGCTACTAATTTTATTTTATGATAATAATAACTATACACTTTCAATTATAATTTTTGCTGAATTAAAATGTATCACATATTCAAAATTTTTATAAATCTTTGGCAAATCTTTGTAGGAATATGTTAACGCAACTATGTTGAAATCAACGTTTTCATGGTGAAACTACTCTGTTAGAGTCATTTCATACTGCGGACATTGTTTCCGTATTCCCGTCAGGATAATTTAATTTTAGGTTGCCTGCGTGAAGTCGATTTAATTTTAGTTGGGATCTTACATGAAGGTTTTACTTGAAATATATTTTTTTTACTTAACGTTAAATTTGGACTTGATTATTAATAGGGTTGTCTTACAAGTAAAATTGCATAAGTGTGTTAATAGGAGGTCAAATATACTAAAAGTGCTCGGCGATTTTTAACAAAAGTTAAATTCCCAGTGCTATATTAGTGTGGTAATATTATCTTTTATTAAAGGCGAGCGTAAAAGGGAGCGATTGAAGATCGAATTCACGTTGTTTTCCTTACATTCTCAGGAGACCTTTTCGTCTTTGATTTTCCGTGCGTTACCTTTGACGTTTGCTAACTGATTGTTTACCTCTACGCTTTATTAAAGTCTAAACCCGAGCACGATATTTCATATCTTCCTCCTGTGCGAGACTCTAACAAGATGCAGTACCTCGTATTTCTCTCTTTCAGCGCGACGTGTATTTTAGGTTCCCATCTCTTCACGCATTCTATCGAGAGTTTAAAATTTTATTTTACTGGGAGAGATCGAGCGGCACGTAATTCATGTCCAAAGACAAAAAGCGGCACACTTGGTCACTTTAGCCGGCTCAAGACGCGCTTAATTCGCGCGATTGCGGCAACATCTTCGCAAACATTTTGTCCTTGCCCGGTTTTATTCGCCCGCTCATGCTTCAAGCGACCCGTTGTGATTTACGGCATAATAGCGGAAAATGGGCGTGCTCTCCGTAAAATCGCGGTCGCGATTTCCCGGCCGTTTTGTTTCCCGCGTGCAGATCGTAAGGATCCGCGCGCGCGCCACCGCCATTGCAATGACTTACGTTAATATGTATGAACCAGCCGGGGGATTTCTAACCGGTGTAAATGCGGATAATGCGCCGCTATCGCTGCCGCCTGCATTGCTCTGGATTCGCGGTTTACAACCCCCTTTCTGTAATCCCACCTCGGGCTTAACCCAACGAAAATGCACGCTAAATCGCGTTCGGCTCCGAAGCATCGAGTAAGAAAGTATGATTGCGCAAGCGGCTGTAAAGTTATTTACACAAGTATCCACATGAAATAATTTGACTTAAATAATTTCACACGGAGAAAAGTAATTTGCTGGCCCAGCAAATTTTCTGCTGGTCTAGCAAAATTTTTTCGTTATTATATGGATAGCAAAAAAATGTACTGAGAGTACTAATCATTATTTGCTGGATATAATTTGCTGAATCTATAAATTATTTTGTTATAAAAACCACGATGGATTTATATAAGCAGTTGCAGTTTTGCTCCGATAGCAAATAAATTTGCTAAGGATACATCATTTTGCATCAATAGCAAATTAACGTGATTTTTGGGACAAATATACTCAACAAATTTTTTCTATCCTAGCAACGAAACTACTTCTGTTCTGATAACGAATAATTTGTAAAATTAGTTACGTCAACTAAATTTTTTTGGTGTCATTACGAATATAATTTGCAGTAGCAACGACGATTTTGCTAAAAGAGCAAAATTATTTTTCTCCGTTTACTTAGTAAAAAACGTGTTATCCACGAGTTAATATACATTTTTTTTATTAGTACGCGACGAAAAATAATTTGCTCGCTCAGCAAATTTTCTCTTGGTGTAGAAAAATCTTTTCGTTATTATATGGACAGCGAAAGGATTTGCTAAGAGTACTAATCACTATTTACTGGATATAATTTGCTGAACCTACAAATTATTTTGCTGTAAGAACAAATTAGTTCTTGTCCAATTAGCAAATTGAATTTGATATTATAGCAACACATAATTGCTAAATAAACGATATAGTTTTGCTACATGAACGATATAACTTTTTGCTATATTACTTAGACAGCACACAATATTTAGAAAATATTTTAGAAATATAGATATATTAAATTTTCTATTAATACTTTAACGTCGGAATATGTCGGATATGGAAAACATTATGATAAATATAAATATAAAAAGATATTTATGAAGAATATTTGTCATAAATAATAAAAACATGATTTCATTTAAGTAAAACTGTGTTTTGATTATTTATGGGAAATAATTTTCATAAATATTTTTTAAATATTTATCATAATATTTCTTAATTTCCCGAATATTAAATATTTACAAAATATTTTTAAAATATTTTTTAAATATTGTGTACTATAAAAGTCGAAGCAACTGTATTAATGTCTACACGTATAACTGTCTTGTTGTAAAATGCAACATTTTTTTTGTGAAAATATTAGCAATTTTGCATCAATAGCAAATTAACGTGATTTTTAGGATAAATAACTCAACAAATTTTGTCTATCTTGGCAACGAAATGGAGCTTCTGCTCTGATAACGAATAAAATTTGTAAAATTAGCCAACTAAATTTTTTTGCTGTCACTACGAATGTGCGGTAGCAACGACGATTTTGCTAAAAGAGCAAAATTATTTTTCTCCGTGTACTGTTAATATAACTCGCGAGTATTCATATATCCGGTTACTACTTGGGACTTACATTCATTTATAATTATTATCAGGGAAACTAAACAGTGAATATTTACGTGTATGCAATGTCATTTGTGTTAAGAAAAACGTGGAAAGAATTTTCAATAAGTAGTAACGAGACAGCAATTCATTTGTCCTTTGTTATCATTAGATAAATCAATAATCA